TGATTCTTCAAATCTAAATCTAATTTAGATGCAAAATTTATTAATCCCTTAAATACCCCTGGATTTCTTTTCATCATGCCCATGTAAGGAAGTTTCAAAGTTTCACAAAATAAAATACAAAAGATTTTTCATTTTAAAAAATTCATTTTAAACCTTAGGTATTGTTTTTTCTGTTTTTTGTAGAGGTACCTATATTAAATACAGTCTATTATTAAATTTCATGGTTCCTGTTCTGCTCATTGATTGAAATGTGAAAGTCTTTAGGCCTCACTAAGTTTCTCCTTAATATTTACATTTCTGAAAAGTAACTGTGAAACAACATTTTCAATATGCTTCAGTTTTTGCTTTAGTCCATAGTCCATATTGCATCTTCAAAAAACAAACACAGGACGCAAAACAATGAATTTCTCACTTTACAGATGCAAAGCCAATTTTTCTGCTGATGTAATTTAGAATTAAAGCTACAAATATACCTCTTGTTGTTGTTGCTTATTCCTGGCTGAGATATTTGAATATCAGGTGTTGAACAGTCTCTTTTCTTAACTGTAACTTTCTCATGGGGAGACAACTCTGAAAACTTAAGCTATTGAAGTTCACTTATTGTCGCAGAACTTATTTCTTAGAAATTCAAGGAGGTCATGGTTAAATTATTAAAAATTTCTATACAACGAAGCAACCGAAAAAAGCAATAACAAAAAAAAACAAAACAAAAAAAAAAAACAATAAAATAAATAGAATAGCTGGACACATGATAGTCATCTATAGTTTATCATATTCAAGAATATGGTAGACGGCTTTTAAACACATGCTAAGTCAAATATAATTTACACTTAGACAACAGGGTCAGCAATGGGTGAGCAACAGTCTATAATCAGTGTTCAGCTTCTTTCCTCTCGGACATATGCACATGTCCACAACAGCCAAACATTGCATCACTAGAAATGTGAAGCATACAGTTCCATTCAAGGAATTTTGTCATTTTTTCATGAATGCTAGGATGGCTACTGACTTTAAGCTTAAAGATTATATAATGTGCAATATAAAGAAAGATTTAAAGAATAAAAAAACTCATTATACTGAATATTAACGATAATATTGAATAAAATTTGAGGCTGCAGCAGATCCGCCCTGGATGAGATACAATCTTGCTTAACTTGTTATAACTGATAAGTACTTGATAAAAATTAAAACATGGAAATTATGATCATTTAGATAAAATATATAAATATTTAAGATGAAATCCAAAGCAAATAAGCAAAATAATAATGCATCAAGGATTGGCTTCATGAAAGATGTAGAAGGCCATTTCACATGTGTTAGAGATTCACCTGTTTCTATTGAGTCCCATGTGGAAGAAGGAGGCTATCACATTGCAGCAGTGAGATGAAAGCCAAACACTTAGCTAAATTCGCAAACTTTCAGAACTGATTCTTTAATTCTACAATTACACATAAGGTTGGCTGGTTGACTTTGAATTGCCATACCTTCCAGACAGACATTTTCTACTGGTTGAAGGTGTATTGCCATGCTTTCTTGCAAGTTGCCTTTGCTGGTTGACTTTATCTTTCCATACCTTCATGCCAGTTGCCTGGTTGATTTTGTCTTGCTATAACTTTCTGCCAGCTGCCTTCACCAGGTAAATATCATTTTACCATGCCTTCTAGCCAGCTGCCTTTTTCTGGTTGACTTTTTATTGTTATAATTTCCTGTCAACTGCCTTTGCCTCGTTGATTTTGTATTGCTGTAATGTTCTGCCAGCTACCTTTGTCAGGTAGACCTCTTTCATACCGTCCTGCTGCCTTTTCCTGGTTAAATTACTATTGCCATGCATTCCTATCAGCTGAAATTTCCTGGTTGACTGTGTATTGCTATGCCTTCTTGTCAGCTGACTTTATCTGGTAAAATTTTTTTAGCCATGATTTCTTGTCAGCTGCCTTTTTCAAGTCAACTTTGTATTGCCATACCTTCCTGCAAGGTACTTTTGCCTAATTGATTTTGTATTGTCATACATTCCTGCCTGCTACCTTTGCCAGGTAGACTTTGTATTACTATGCATTCCTGACTACTACCTTTGTATGGTGGCTTTTGTATTGGCCAGGTTTCCTAGACAGCTGCCTTTCCTCATTGAATTTGTATTGGTGTAATGTTCTATCAACTTTATACTGTCTGAAGCCGCCTTTGCCTGGTTGATTTTGTATTACCATAATATTCTTCCAGGTAATTTTGCCAGGTAGAATTTTACTGCCAAGCATTCCAGCCAGTTGCCTTTTCATGGTGGACATTGTATTTCGATGTGTTCTTGTCAGCTTCCTTTGCCAGATAAATGTTGTTTTGCTATATTTTGCCATACCTTTTTTTGCCAATTAGACTTTGTACAGCAATGCATTCCTGTTAGTTGCCTTTGCTTCATAATCTTTATTTAGCTTGGTCTTCTTGCTAGTTGATTTTTCTTGCTCATTTTGGCATAGCCATACCTTCCCAACACTCGTTTCCTCATAGAGTTTGTATTACCTTTGTCTATTAGACTTTATACTGCTATGCATTCCTGCTAACTGCCTTTTTTCTGCCTGCTTCCTTTGACTGGTAAAATTTTGTTTTCACATGACCTTTTGCCAGCTGCCTTTTCCTGGTTGATTTTGTATTGCTATAATATTCTGCCAGATACCTTTAACAGGTAGACATTCTATTATTATGCATTCCAGCCAGCTGCCTTTTCCTGCTGGATTTTATATTGCCATGCCTACCTGTCAGCTGCCTTTACCTGGTGAACGTTGGTTTGCCATGCCTTAGTTGAATTTGTATGGCCATGTGTTCCTCTCAGCTGACTTTGCCAGGAAAGGTTTGTTTTGCCTTGGATTTTTCCTTGCAAGTGTCTTAAGAAATGGACCATATTTGGCCATAACAAAATTTATCTCTGCAACACATTCAAACATTTAATGTTCAGTTTATATTTTGTTACTCTGAATGTTTTGGTTGTAGTATGAAGTAGAGTTTGGCTTGAATATATAAAAATACTTCCATTTTTATACAATCATCTCAGAAATTGATATGAAAGTATATAAAAGAAATAAATAAATGCCAGTGACTAACCCAACAATAATTTATTGAAAGAAATGAGATATAACATTGTTTATGAGAACAAAGCAGAAAAAGTAATATTATTTACTGATATAATTGTGAGTCTTGTTCATGATTCATGACTTGAAGCAACCTACTGTCAACAAAAATTAATTTGAGAATTGCTTCATGACTAATGGATTCATAAGCAGATAATGTTGCATCCAAAAGTTCATTTTTGAATACAAATTTCTTTCTGTCTTCATAAACACACCTCTTAACAAAAAGTTCTAAATGGAGTTTAAAGACAACAAACATAGCAGATAAGCTTGTAATTATAACATTTTAATTTATCTAAATATTTTTAGCTGTCATGCATGAAAATAAGTTTTAATTTGAATGCTACTGTTTTCTTAAGTGATATCTGTAGGTTGGTCTTTAAGAATTCAATATAGGTAGAAGAGGTCATTTTAATACCATCATTGACATTCCAGGTGTCAGTCAACTCATTACTAAGGGTGACATGCTTAATGTCATTAAACTTTAAAGGAAGAAAAGCAATGTTTGATGCACATTCAGAAACATTTTAGAGTATGCGGCACTATGGCATTTTAATCACATTTGGAGCTTCCAATGACTCCAAATAACTTTTCACTACTTAACTGGATGCTTTCACAACTTAGCCTTTAGTATCACCCCTTTATTAGTTTGAGTACTGTACATAATCAGGTTTATAACAAATGTTTTTTTTTAATCATAATATGGACTCTTGCAAAGAACTTAGCAATTTCTACTGTTGTTTTATCCTCATGAAGCATCTGATCAATTTTTGCCTTATTATAAATGCACAAAAATGTTTTGTAAGCCATGTTGCATAAAAATTGGAATAGTTTCAATGAAACAATATTACCAAAATGGCTGCCATTTATTTACTCTTGTACAGATCCATATGATTAAACATGATTGTGAATGTCATTATTGCTAAACATTTGGCTGAATTAAGTTCAAATATACATAGTCAATAAAAAGATGTTTAAAAAATATGTGAATTGTTTAAAATGTTAGATTATACTGTAAACGTAAATTGTCTTTCATGGAATACCTTTGGCAACTTCAGTTACTAGTTTATTTGGCAGTTTTACAAGAATTAAGAAGAAAAAAAAACTTTCATAAGACATAATAAGGTTTATTATAGGCAGTTAACAACATTATGACTTATTATAACCTTAACAACATATGCTATACAGATAATGTTGATGGCAGACTAAGAAAGAAAACTGAAAGAAATATTAAACAAAGTAGTAAAAGAATCAAGGAAAGCAAGAAGAAAGGAGTAACTATTAACTGTAAGAAGACAGAATAAATGGGCTACAGCAAAAGAAACAGCCCAAGGTTCAAGTTTCATATCATAAATGTCAAAATTTCAATTGCTGAAATTTAACTGAGTAGCATAGTAACAGATGATAGAAATCATGATCATAGAATCTGAAAATACACATGAACAGCAAAAGCTACTTTCTAGAAAATGTAAGATATTAAGATGCTGAAAAATGTCCTTAAAACAAAAGAAAGGATGCTTAACTGCTATATATTGTCTAATCTCCTATATAGCAGTGAATGCTGGATGATTTTGTCACAGATGAAAAAGAGGCTTGAAGCAGCAGAGGTTTGATTCCAATGTTAAGAATACTATATGAAAAATGAGGAAATTTTAATGAGAATACAAAGAAACTGCTACTAACAAATAAAGTGGTGGCTAAAATTTTAGGGACACTTAATGAGGAAAAAAGACTTGAGGAATTCAACACTCACAGGACATAATTGATTGAGTTTTTTATGGCTTATTAACCTTCTGCAAAAGATATTTAAGCCCTGAAAATATTTTTAGATTGGAAGATTCTTTTCCCCCACTCCTTTTCTTACTTTCATTATGTCTTGGGCTTACAGCCATATAACATTGAAGCAGTGGTTCTTGTATGATCACTGAAGTTAAGCAACATTGAGCCTGGTTAGTGCCTAAATGGGTGACCGCTTGGAAATACCAGGTGCTGTAAGCTTTGATGTGTGGGTGGTGTAATGGATAAGGGCTCAGAATTGGAAATAGGAAAGCTGAGTTCCAATTATAGTTGGGTTCATTATATTCACTTATGTGCAAATATCCTTGAGAAAGTTATGAACCCACCACCTCTCCCCTCCCAGCTATGAGTTAATTAGTAGAACTTGTATCAGTAAAAATCATTATCTCAAAAAAATCTTCCAATCTAAAAATATTTTACATATCCGTCTCTGGATCTTGTCAAGAACTCCGAGGTAAACAGAAGGTGCCCCAGACCATATGTGGCAGCAATACTCCATGCAAGGGCGAATAGTTGATTTGTATATTTGAAGTATTGATTCCGGGGAGAAAAAATTCCTGGCGCAGCACAGAGAGCCAACTTTCCTTGCAGTGAAAGAAGCAATTGACTCAATCTATTTGTTCCATCTCAGGTCAGCAGTCAACGTGAGACTCAGGGAGTTGCTCTCAAGAAGTTGACTATCAGATATTCTAATGGGGGGCAGGGAAGGATCTCTATGGTGATTAATAGAGAGTAGTTTAGTTTTTGAGGCGTTAAAGTTGACCAGCCAATTCTTGCCCCAATTAACCACCGATGGAGGTCCATTTCAAGACGCACAGCCAGGTTAGTTTTGTAAATCTCAGGAAACAGCTACCTGACCCCGTTTTATACGGGGTCTTTGGGGAATTTTTGGCCAAACCTACAGGCTCGGATACCCCACATTAAATTTGGCCTTGTGCCACATCTGAGCACGTGGAGCAGTTGATAGATATCTTGCAATTCAAGATTCAATGTGGAATTCACTTAACCCACTTCTTGCAGTTGACTACTTCTTCTATGCGCCGCTGTCGAATCTTATATGTGTTGTTCTTGTCCTAAGTATTATCGTTCATTACTAACTTTCATGGGATTATTCTATTCATTAACCTTCCCTAGGTTACAACAATTGTCTACCTAATTCATGAGTATTTGTTAAACTAGCACTAAGCATCAAAATAAATTATATTAATTACAGATTTGTGGATTTTACAATCACTCACAGTAAGAAAGAATAAAATGGTGCATAAAATACTACCTTACAAGAGATATCTTTTAACTGCTTCAACATGGTTGAAATGTGCCAGCCATGAAAATATTTGCATGAGTAAATGTAAATGGATCAAATACAAAATTATAAAAATCCCAAGCTCTATAGTAACATTGTGAAGCTGGTGGTGGCATTGCAATAATATAATCGATATATATATATTATATATATAAAAGCTCTTGCATGAAAAACTGAATAGCTTGTGATAAAACTACCTAGGAACATTATCAGATCATTAGCAATTGTCTATGCAGATGATAGCACAGTTTATAGAAGTACCTCCAAAAAATCAAGATGTTAGGAACATTGTAAATGATCTCTTCTCCGATCTTAGCTATAACAGATCAATGAAAGGGAAAAACTGGCTTTTAACTTTCAAACATCAAGCTAGTATCATTTCTTCATCATCTCCATCAATAAGAACCTTGGTTTATCCTATTCATAGTGAAACTCTCAACGAGTCTCTATACTTTGAATGCCTATTGGGATTCAAATTCACCCCAGACATCAAGTTCGTCCTGGGTAAGACGTTAAACTACATCCACATCTTGGGTAAGATGATAAACTACATCCAGCAGCAAGGCCTCTGATCAGGAGGTTTTGAGAAGTGTGGAACCACCTCTTAATTGCTGGTGTTCCCAGGCCCACCCTGACCAAGGGTGGTAGCACCTGTTAGGGCCCCAGCTATGGGCAAATAGTTAACTATTACCAGCAATACTTTTTTGAAAAAAATTATTACCAGCAATAGAATTTTGAAGGAAAAATATTACCAGAAACAGATTTTTGAAAAAATAAAATATTACCAGCAATAAAAAATGTTATCGGCATTAAATGACCCATTGTGGTTGATATACCATAAAACAAAATAAACCAAATCAATCTAACCAAAGAATACATATTCTATTCATATGAATCTATCCTAAAAATGTTGTTGGCATTAAATAACCCATTGAGGTGTTGATATGCTGTAAAACAAATTAAACAGAACCAGACATCAAGTGAAACATACAATCCATTGCTGAAGCTGTTGGAAAAATAGTCGGCTCATTCTACTATTCCAGAGAATAGCTGTCACCCTCTACCATACTTTATCTTTACAAGAGTTAAACCAAAAAGAATGAAATATTGCTGCTATATCTTGGCTGGTGCTGCTCAATCCTTACTTTTCAACCTTGATAGAATTCAAAATCCTCTACATAGTCTTGTAGTCTCTTATTTAATTTCCACTTTGCAGCCTCTTTCTGTACAGATGCAATATTGCATGCCTATCGTTACTATATCACTATTTCTATGGCAAATGCTCAGAAGCGTCCCATTCTTTAGTTTCACCAATTCAAATCTTTATATTTAGAATTTGCAATGCTATGTACACAGAGTTGAATCCCTCTCATTCCCTTCATATTCCAATTGTAAGGTGGAAGTTCCACTCAGCTTTTTCCCCAAGAATTGTTACTTTATGGAACAGACTCCCACATGGATACTTCCCAGAACACGTCAATCGTGACTTGTTCAAAGTCAAGAACTAATCATTATCTATCCTCCTTATCCTCATAATAAATAGTACTTCTACTTTCCTCCTACATTCATGTCACACACTACCTCATTCAGTAACTCTCTACCTTGAGTGGTTCTTGAGCCTTGTATTGAGTAAAGCTAATTAAAAAAATAAAGAAAGTTAGACAAGAATGAATATTTTCTTTTAATGCATTGCATCATTTATGGCTATCATTTGACAAAACATAAGACGTTTTTTCTTTATCTTTTTACCACTCCTATTTTCTCTTCTTTCTTACAAAGTGGCTTTCTATTTAAATATTCACCAAACAGTTTCTATGTTTCCAGACTAAACAACACAAATTAAATTTATCACTAAATAAGGCAATGGTTTTCAAATTCAGAAAATTTATTTAATTTGTTGAACTTTAATTCTATTATTCTATTGTACAGAATAAATAAAATTTTTCTTACCATGTAAAAAAGGACTTATGAAAAGAGCTGTATTAATTATACGCATTTTCTTCTGAAAATGTGCACAACTGAAATTCATATGTAACAGATCAAATTTCGAATAAGCAGATGATACATATTGCCAAATAAATTCTAGAGTCTGGAAGTATACAGCATTGAGATATTATGAAGATAACTTCAGTTTTTGGTTTTTTTTCTTTATTTCTTCTTCCTTACCTTTTTCTCTGTTACTTTTCCTTTTTCCTTTTATTTTTCTTTCCATCTCATTTTCTCTTTTTCTTCACTTTTAAAGTTTTATTTATAATCCCCTCTACTCTTAACTATTTTTTACTTTTTCACCACTTTTGTTTTTCTTACATCTTTTCAGTTCTTTCTTGAGTTTTTCCTTTGACTTGATCCTCCTTTTTTTTTCTTTCTATCTTCTCTACTTTCACACTTCATTCAGCTGCCACTTCTGTTTGTCATTTACCCACAGACGACAGTGACGTCAACACAGAGACAACCATGTACAAAACAACATCACTGAGATTATCTTACCAGTTGATATGGTAAAGCCACTGCTGACTGACTGCCTGCTTGACTTAAGGACTGGGGTGTGCCAGCTCACATGATGCTAATAATATAAGATTAAGACACACACACACACACACACACACACACACACACACACACACACATGCTAGCTAGACAAAAAATAAAAGTAAAAAATAGGACATTTCTTGAAAATAATATAAACTATCCAGAAATGCTTGAATCTGGAGAAATATCCTGCTTACTATTTTACAAGGCCATACATAGCTAGAAAGGTGACTATGATTTGTAACAAATGAAACACATTGTTGCTCTCAAATCAAAGGAATTATATGATTTTAAAAAAGGGACAAATAAGCAATAAAAACTAAGAACTGAATTCTATCTTTACTAACAGTAGAAATAAAGCAGAATATGCAAACCTTATTAATTTATTGACAATTATTTTATTTATTTTAATTATATAAGTTATAAAGTTATAAAACTACCTTCATTAATGCTCTTTCCTCCAGAAAATAGAAATTCTTTTTTGAACTTTAGAAGATATTTTACTCAACTTTTAATTTTCACAAGATTTGGTGCAAATTAACACTGATTTGAGCAATTATTTACAATATTCTCTTATATATATATATATATATATATATATATATATATATATAAAGTGTACTGAAATAAAAGGTGACAATTTGCAATTGAAGAGATTTTAATTTAGCTTCATTGATTCTACAAAGCAGTATTTCAATTTTCAAATATGTAAAACAACAATTTATTTGAGAATTGTTTTAAAATTAAAGACAGTGAGTTTTCACGATAATGCCTAGTGTAATATAAAGTTAAATGAGCAATTAGGCTTATCTCCCTTGCATCTCACATGATGAATTATGGCAAAATGGATCAAAGAGCATATTTGTATTGTTCTCAGATAATACAAAGAATAGTTTCTTTGTTTTTAAACTGAAATATTTTTAGAATATAAAATGAGTGCTGTAAGTTTAAAACTGTTTAGAACTAATTTTAACATAGCAGATAAACTGTTACTAAATAGAAAAAAATATGCGAGAAAAATGTTTGCAGAAATTATAATTTCTAATCTTTAGTACAGTTTTGCTATCAATTCAATTACACATATGTGTTTAAAATGTAAAGTTAAAGAAAAGTAATCTCATTGTTTTTATACTTATCAACATAAAAAAAAAATTCTATATATTAAAAAGGACTTTTTCTTACACATTTTAAAAATTAGATTTGTCACAAAGACAATTATGCACCCTGAGAATTGGGAAGAGTTAGAATACTGAGAAGGAAGGGGCAGAATTTAGTCCCACCTGTGTGGAGTAGCAGTGCAAGATATGAAGTGAAGAAGGTTGAAGTTAAGGGAGAAGCAATCCTTGTGACTACTCTCAAGGAAGGTG